AGTGTCTTTTTTAGTTCTCGCATTGAAATTACGATCGAACACGCGCCTTTTTTCCAATAAATTAAAACGTTACATGAAAAACACTGCATTTATTTGTTTAAAATATATTCATGCTACTAGGTCAAAAGTATTTCAGAAAATTATATTTATGTGATGTTTGCGATTTGCTGACATTACAAATCTATTTCATTCATTCTCAAAAGGCGGAATCGTATATAAACACTAGCGTAAAAAACTCGGATGAATAGAATTCAGTGAACGAATATATCACGTGGTTCCTTTGAAAGTTTAAAGAACCGGCTCGCCGTCTACGATTAAACACTTTCAGCGAAGCGTGCTGAGTGGAGTAGAGAAAACAAGGATCGCCTTGGACCTCAGTTTACAATGGTGTGGCTTAGTTTTGTTTTCCTTTGTCTCTTATCTATACATCTGTCCTGCCAGGAAACTCAGTATTCAGAAAAAGGTATGTTTATCTCACTCAATGCTTTTTTTTCGATTTTCTTTTGAAATATATGCATTGCTGCTTTTCAGCTCTATTGCACCCCTACTAATGTTATTGTGATTTAAATTCAAGACACGTGGTTTAGATTTACGTATTGAAAGGTTATAGGGTAGGTCTGGTTTTATAAATAAAATTGGCAGTAAACAGGTTGGTTATAAATAAAATATCATTTTGATGCAGTGAATTTTCAACTTTGCAGGAAATTACTTTTTCTGCGCAATTGCAATCAAAGTTCTGAAAGTTTTGGGGCTATGTATGACAGTTAAAACAGTTACTCCTTGAATGAAATGACAAAGAAGTCCAGTTCCGGTTAACACGATAATAGGTCGGTAATTATTCAGAAATGTGTGTTTCACCGCACACCTTGGTCAGATAACCAAACAATGGAATTACATGTTTTGCTCTAAATTGTCCAAATGCAGCAATGTATAAACTATCTCTGCTTTGAATTGTTTTTTAAAGCCTCCCTATTATAAGTATCAATAGTCATTAAATTGCGACTTTTTTTCTCTTTTTAATAAAAAGAAAACTTTTGAAAACTTACCTAAAAATAGCTAAATAAAGCTACCTGAGGTAGGTAAATAAAGCTACGTAGGTAATTCTACCTACATAGCTAAATCTAGTGATTGTACTGGACCTGGTAAACAGGAAATTACTATAGTCTGTTTTTTCTGGGGGGGGATGTGTGTTTTCATCACCTTTCTGGTTTAAATAACAGAAATTAATACAATTAATACATCTTATACTTTACTGCAAAAATTACAGCTCACTAGCGACCGAGATGCTTATAAAAATGTATAATATCATTTACACTGACAAACCTTTGTTTGCCTTATATGGCTATTGCTATTAATGCGCACAGAGGATCATACCACGAGCAACGCCAAATACATGTTTACATGTTACTTCGAACACGTGGTTCAGGTCAATCTATGATCATATCGATGGAGTGCAAAGTAAAAAAAAAATGTTCCCATGAAACATTAGAAACTATTAATAATATCACTGGCGTTTTTAATTGTTAATAACTATAGAGAAAAATATGCTTAATAAAACGTATACGTAGTTCGTGTCAAGTTCAGAACACCAGCAATTCAAGGATAACGAAAACGAGCAGCTTCTCTTATGCGTTTAAATGGACAAAACATTTTTTACATAACTATACATGTAAACTCGTGATCACGTGTGTTGGCAAGGGAATCCACCTGGCAATTGTATTCACCGATAGTACAATAACGGAATTTATCAAGCGTAAAATTCCTGTAGTATTCATATAGTAACCCATAATGCAATTCTCATTCATCTGATTTGTCAGTTAAAGTCACATTGGTGCCCCATTTGCTAATCTGACGCCAAGAAATATAGTCCCGGTCCCCATGCAAAATATTTTTCTGAAAAGCAATTCTAATTCATGAAAGCAGAAAATTGTATCAGAAAAAACTTTAAAATAATTTAAACTTGAATGAATTCAAGAAAGATCGATTGAAGAACATTTCTACAGAATGATATTAAAGGGTGGTGAAAACTAAAACACAACATAACTGTTCTGTTTACCATGTCTCCACGTGCTAGTCACTTCCTAGCCACATTTCCGTGAATAATTTACTCTATCTCGCTGAAGTCTCGCTAGTTCTCGCCAGAACCAATGTCAGAGCTACTCTGAACTCATCGGGTTTTATGATATGCAGAACACCGACAAATACAAGGTTCCGAACACATTAGTAGGGGTGTATTGGCAAGAGATCAGAACAGCGTATGCGATAGTAAGGTGTCCTTCGTCCGTCCCGTCTGTCTGTCTGTAACAATTTTTCAAACTGCTACTTCTCATCCATGTTTTGCCTGATCTCAAAATTACTTGGCATATAACAGTGCAAGTAGACTACGCTAAGAAATAGAATATTGAGTATTGATTTTTAGCTCTACTGGTCAGAAACCAGAAGGGCTTATGCGATAGTAATGCGTCCGGCGTCCGTCCGTCTGTCTGTCTGTCTGTAAACAATTTTTCAAAACGCTACTCTTACAATTTTAGTCTGATTTCAATATTACTTGGCACACAAGTAGACTACACTAAAATACATTGAATAGAGCATCGGTTTTTAATTTCGATGAACGGTGTTGCCATGGTTACTGAAAATAGAATTTTCTGTGAAATTCCTTTAAACACTACTCCTTTTACAGTTTTGGTCAGATTTCAATATAACTTGGCACACAAGTAGACTACACTAAGATACATAGAATAGTGCATTGGTTTTATTTCGATGAACGGTGTTGCCATGGTTACTAAAAATAGAATTTTCTGTGAAATTCCTTTTAAACGCTACTCCTCCTACAGTTTTGGTCTGATTTCAATATAACTTGGCACATAAGTAGACTACACTAAGATACATAGAATAGTGCATTGGTTTTTTATTTGTTGCCATGGTTACTAAAAATAGAATTTTCTGTGAAAATTCATTTTAAACGCTACTCCTTCTACAGTTTTGGTCTGATTTCAATTTAACTTGGCACACAAGTAGACTACACTAAAATACATAGAATAGTGCATCGGTTTTTGATTTCGATGAACGGTATTACCATGGTAACTAAAAATAGCATTTTCTGTGAAATTCCTTTAAAACGCAACTGCTTCTACAGTTTTAGTTTGATTTCAAAATAAGTTTGCACACAAGTAGACTACACAAAGATACATAAAATAGTGCAATGGTTTTTGATAAGTTCAAACCAGTAGAGCTACAGTCTCGACAGAGACTTCTGGTTGTTTCTATTAATGGTGTTGTCATGGTAACTAAAAATTGAAATTTCAGTGAAATTACTATAAAATGCTCCTCCTCCTACAAGTTTGGCCTTATTTCAGTAGAATTTCAACACAAGTAGAATACACTCAGATACATAACTTAATGCATCAGTTTTTGATTTCGAATAATAGTATTACCATGGTAACTAAAATAGAAATTTCAGTTTTTGATCTCGATGAACGGTACCTCGTGGGGATCCGGGTTAGAATAGGTTCTCAGTACCCCCTTGCTTGTCGTAAAAGGCGACTAAATGGGGCGGTCTTTCGGATTAGACCGTTTAAACCGAGGCCCCGAGTCACAGCAGGTGTGGCACGAATAAAAAGATCCCTCCCTGCTCAAAGGCCGTATGTGCCGAGCAAAGGCCTAAATTTGCAGCCCTTCACCGACAATGGTGACGTCTCCATATCAGTGAAATATTCTGGAGAGGGACGTTAAACAGTATACAATCAATCAATCAATGAACGGTGTTACTATGGTTATTTTTGCTACCTGTTGCAAATTTTCAATCCAAGTGCTCCTTTTTTGTTATATAACTTATATACACAGACCAAAAGAGCTTCATCGAAATTAAGAGATATTGGTTTCGTCGTAGTTTTCACAGCAACTACTCATAGCAGATGCTTGGAATTTTAACACAATATTCTCTGAGGCATATGGCGAGATACATTTTTGTTAAAATCCGATGTCAAATTCCTCTTTATCGGTGCGTCTGTCCGTTTCATACATAACAATATTGTGGAAGTTTTCTCTGCAACTTCTCATCACAGATGCTTGAAATTTTAGTATATTCTTTGTTAATTCATGCAATATAGTGGGATATATTTTTGTTTACAGCGTAACGCACTTTCTAAGCTCACATGGTTTTTCGCACAAATTAAGGTCAATTCCTTTTGCAATAAAATGAACATTAGCGACCTTTAATAGGAGACATAGCCCTAATATGTAATTGATATCTTACGTTCAATGTACATATTCTTTAAATCCATAATCTTAAATTTTTAAAATCGATGTTTCAAATGGGACTTCATTAATGTTATAATGAAATATGTATGATTTTACCATAAGTATTTACAATTTTCAAGCTTTCTTTGTCACTGTTTAGATGAAATTTTCAAACATCTTAAAGATGAGTATTTTTCGAAGTACTTTACACATTTTCCATAATCGTCATAGTATTCCCGAAATGCCAAATAATGACAATGTTGCATAAAGAAATCATGGCAAAAGCCAGAATATAAAAGTATTCTTTATCTTTTAAAATAGTAAATTGTTACCATTAAAAAATAATTCTTTTACATATACGGTTTGAAACTTTAGAATTTTTGCTGTTGGATCTATCTTTCATGATGAGATTTCGAAAGTTTCCCTAAAAGATGCTAGCTTTTCAACATGAAAAGCAGTCGAACAAATGAGGTCTTATTATCATCTTGCGCTTTATAGAGTCATGTTATTGTACAAAAATACAAAAGTTACATGATTTGCACTGCTTTTGAGTCGGTGCAAGACAAAAAAAAAAAGGCTGTACAAAGAACGGGTACATAGATGGCTACATTTGACGAGAAACCACGAAAAAACCATTTGGGAACTATCACAATCCATCAGCCAAGAGTATATCAAAATCCTACCAATAAGTATGAGCAAATTATGTTTAAGTTAGTTAAATAAACTTAGAAGTAAGTTAGAAATCACTTTTAAAATATATTGTGTTGCATCGTTACATAATTTTGCGTAATAACAATGTGACCATAATATGTGTGAGAAACCATGTAAGCTTAGAAAGTGCATTGAGCTGTACTTATGATGTTAGCTTTCTGTTTATCTGTGCGTCTGTCTGTACCAAAAATAACAATAATTTTTGTCGCACTTTTCTCAGCAATTACTCATTACAGATGCTTGATCTCATTACAGATGCTTGAAATTTTAGCACAAACTTGGTGAGGCTTACTATATGGTGGGATTTATTTTTATATGAATCTGATGTCACCTTCCTATTATCTGTGCATCTGTCCGTCACTGAACATGTGTATATTGACATGATAGTGTATGTTCACATTAGACGGGGGGTATTGTTAATTTTGACCTGTGTAAACTCAGTTTCAGATTATCTCTGTAAACTTTGTTTCAGTTTTTGTTTACATTTTCTCAAAAGAAAAAAAAACGTGTTTTATCGTATTTTTTTTTCGATGTTCACCATATATGACTTACCCTTCTTTATATTTTACATATTAACCCTTAACCTGTGCTTTCCAAAACTAATGTGTTTAATTGTTCCTTTCAGAATTATTAGAAAGGCTTATTAAGATCCTGAAGGAACCAAGTCAAAGAAACATTGAGGTATTGAACTTTTCTAAATACTTTTAAATTAAATAACCAATTCAATAATTTTCTCTCTTACCCCCACCCCATCCCCACCCCGAATATTTTGACAAACCTTTGTTGCAGAAAGCCATATTCAAAAATCTTATTCGGAACACGATGAATAAATAAGTACACTGTACTAGATAAACAATATCACATTGAAAATAAGCACCTTGATGGAGAGGACAGAGAAAATGATTTGATTTCTAACGCAGACCCCTAGATATTTCTCTCTAGCAAGGTTTGTATACTATATTTAGACATCCACTCAATAATATTATTTGTATTTTGCATTGTAAAATATATCTGAGAATGCGGAAAGCATGCAGTTTCCTTGTTGTAGGACCTTAAATTTAGACTTATTAGAAAATTATTATATACGTAACATATATCATTTCAGAAAGAGGCCGACGCGTCAATTTACCCCGGTAAGTCACACAATGTATATAAAGTCGGAACTTTCTGTGAAACCAACCACCATTTAGAATTACGGTGAACAAAGGCTTTGTAAATATTAACATTTTTTTCAGGAAAAATTCGTGTATATATATGGTGTACATTTAAGTACATGAATGTGTATTTAAAAGATTGTTTTTATTTATGATTTAGTTTAAACAATATTAATTTATTAATTCTATTTTCTTTCAGACAAGACTGGTGACGATCAACTTGATGTCCCGGTAAGTTAGGGTTCCTGTTATAAATATGCACGGGGTGCACAAGACCTTATTTTGTACAGGGGTGATGCGTTCAATAAAAAACAACAACAACAACATCAAAAACCAAGATACTATATACTGTGTACTTAATAAAAAAATCAACAACAACAAAAATCGAGTAGGGGGGTCATTATTTTGAAAGGGAATTGAAAGTTTAATACATGTTCATGTTAGATATGACATGATCTGAAATTAATTTCAGAAACGGTTGTTCTGGAGGTAATATGCAATATTTGTTTTCCTGGAAATTTTTAATGTTTTTCTGTAAATAAGTAATCTTCTTTACAATTTGAAAACAATACATCGTTTTAAAAAAACGTTTCTTTGGTTATAATATTTTCAATATTTATACAGTTAGATCAAATAAAATAAATTTCTTTTGTAAAAATGAGACGAGAGACGAGAGCAAAGCGATTCAGGTTCTTCCCATCACTAAAACTCTACTTTTAGGGAGGAATGCCACACCAACTTTTTATTTTATAGATCTCTGAGTCAACCTTTTTAAACAATGGTTTCAGCATTGAAAGCCCGACATTACCTCTAAATCATTTTATATGAAAAAAAATTATTAACATCCAAATTAGATGCTTTCTTGTAATAATTTTGCTGTACATGAATGCATCACATAAATACCTAATAAAATATGTAAAGAAAAGCTGTATAGATATTTAAAAAAATTAAATAAAAAAATATTTACGAAAATAAAGCACATAATTTGTGAATATTTTTTTTATATTTGTGGTTAAAATCTTCTTAAAACCAGTCACAACTGGGGAGAACATGTTCATTAATCATATTTATAAAAGAAATTGAAACGAAATAGCCAAATTTTAGAGAAATTAATTTTTTTTTTAATTTTGGCCAAACCCGATCAAAATTAAACCGATCCAACCATAATTGTACAATTATTGGAAAAAAAGAACATTTCCTTAAGAACACTAATCTGATTGGGTATAATAAGGGTTAAAACATTATTGAACTTGACAATAAAATAGATTTCTTCATATTAAATACATGAAAAGTCACTTAATTAGCATTTTATTCATTTTGTGTTAATTTTGATCGGGATCAGTTTAATTTTGATCTGGTAAGTTCCAAAAATTAAAAAAAAATAATTTCTCTAAAATTTCTCAATTTCGTTTCAATTTCTTTTAAAAATATGATTGACAAACATGTTCTCCTCAGTTGTGGCTAGTTTTATGGTGTTTTTAACCATAGTTTTAAAAATATTTACAAATAATGTGTTTTATTTTCATATTTTTTTATTCAAAAAATTAAAACAAATCCAACCAGCCTTTCTTTACATATTTTATTAGATATTCATATGGTGCATTCATTTTCAGCAAACTTTTAACTCGAAAACAAATTATTTGTAAATAATTTGTTTAATTGTCTTTGAAAAAATACAAAAAAAAAATCATATAAAAAAAATTAAGAGCTAATATCGACCTTTCAATGCTGAAACCATTGTTTAAAAAGGATGACTCGAAGATCTATAAAATAAAAAGTTGTTTGTGGCATTCCACCTTAAATGTGATTAATTATTCCGACAATTCTGGATTCATTTAATATACCCCACTTTTTAAAATTTCTGATGTACATTACTGCACTAATCGAATTCTCTCTCTCTCCGTAATGAAAAATGAAACTGAATTGACTTTAAATATGAAATTTGAAAAATGGCATCACTAACGATAGATAAATTTGCTGTTGTAAATTGGATGAATAAAAAAAAATGACAACGTTTCTAACAATATTGTTATGATAAATAGCAAAAAAAAAAAAAAATAAATGTTATACCTTTGATTTTTAAATTATGTTTGAAAAAAAAAAATAATAATGGCGTGATACATATCGTTTATGTTTCTCAAAGTAAGCAAAGGAACTATAAAAGGCAGAGATATACCATATGTCTGTGATCAGGTCCCTACAGTTTCCTGTTTGTATATATTTTGTCTTTCAAGGTCCTTGATCCCGAGTCAGATTTAGAAGATGAGGCCGAAAGTCAAAGGGTAGATTTACCGGGAGGAGAAAGGAAGGTGAGAAGCACTCATTAATAGGTTAATCCAATATTTCTCCAATGTCCTGTATTTGCTGAATTATAATACATGTATATTTCCATTAAAGTGAAATCTGTGGAAGCATTAGATTTCGTTGTGGCTAATTTTTCTTTGAATTCGTGGGTCACTCCAATCAACAAATTAATATTCACCTTAATATGACTAATTAAGGTTACAACGACAAAATTATAGTCTTCTCTATGTATAAAAAAATGCAAGATATAACACCCCCAAAGCCTATAAAAATAAGGTAACTACGTTTGACCTTTGTTTTCTGATGATTCTATGCGTTGTATTTTCATGCTTTATAAACCAAACAGCCAACCAACATCCGGCCTCATGATAAAGAGGAACAACTCGAGGACAACCACGACAAACATCCGCGTAACCCAGACAGGAACAAACATCCACGTAACCCAGACAGGAATGGGGAAAATGACGAGGTATTTCAAACTGGAGAGATAGAGGGTTAGGGGGGTTAGTAAAAGGATAGAAAGAAAAAGTTAGGGAGAAAGACAGAGGAAGGTAAAGAGGAGGAGTTAGATGATTTTTTTGGGGGAAACTCGTTCTTAAATATCCGTTTTTTTGCCAATACATGCAAATTTTAACGAATTATAAAGCTTTTCATCTTCCTTTTATACCACTTAATTAGAGAAAACTGTATTTTAAAAAACTACCATTTTATTTCAAACCATTAGGCTATTTACTTATCCATACTTCTTTTTGTACAACTTTTAGAAGAGAAATTTGCATTCGAAGAGAATATTTCAGGATACTGCACGATTTTGGCCAAACGGAAGGATTCCATACTGGATTGACGAGGCAACTTATACCGACAGTATGTATTTATGACCTTAAACTTTACATTTTGTAATTAGGAATAGAAATCTACTTTACTAATGATTTCCTTGAAAACATTTTAAGCCATTTTTATTCAGACAAATCAGTGCTGTTTTCAAATTTTTTCTTCATTCTTTCGTCGCCCGCGCAGTGGCCAGAGCGTCTACTCTAGAATCGCGAAGTTAGGAGTTGATCCTTAGGTCGCGGGTTCGAATCCTTCTGTGGGATGTGGTGACCAGTCCTTCGGATGAGAACGAATAAACCGAGATCCCGTGTCACAGTATGTGTTTGCACGAAAAAATCCCTTCCTGCTCAATGGTCCCGAGTGCCGAGCATGGGACATAATTTGCAGCTCTCCACCAGCAAGTGGTGGCGTCTTCATATAAGTGAAAAAATCTCGAGAGAGACGTTAAACAATAAACAATCAGTCAATCCTCATTCTTTCCAAGTTTAAGAATATGAAACGGATACATGAGGGTCGCCAAATATATAACTATTAATTGACAAAGTTCCCTTATTTTGACGTAAATTTTCACATATTTTGTAGTACATTTAGTTTCAAAAAACACATAGCAAAAGCTTGCTACTAAACTTAATTATTTTCTCACCAGATGTGGTTGGCGAAAAAAAGCTTTCAAAAATTAAGTATCTCAGAGAGAAAAATAAGCGTTAGTTTTAACACAAGCAACATTTTATGCTCTTACATATGTACTTTTAAATAATTATTACTAAAGGGTTTTCATATTTTACAGGTTTATTCCTTCTGATAAGACATAACATTGTTAAAAATTACTAACAAATTTTCCTTTTAAACCTGACTTTGAATTTTTTTCTTTCATTCTTTGCCATAAGCTGCGATACGGGAACATCAGTGTTTCGAAAAGGCATTTTGTTCTCAGTAGAAAATAGCTTACAGGTATTAAGGTTTGATTTAATAGAATATTTTTAATTTAATTCAAGACATTTGATTCTTTTTAGGTGGGTCCCTTGAGAATCTAAGAACCTTGATTAAAGATTCTATTAATCAGCTGGATAACTACACGTGTGTAAGATGGATAGAGAGAACGACGGAAACAGACTACGTCCGGATCCTCAATGGCGATTCGTATGTACAATTTCTGTTAAAAATGATTTTTGAACCTAACAACCAAGTTATATGATAAACGTGGCGACTTTAAGGTTTCTATCGTCAACTTCCCTTATTACTTATGCAGCATAGAGAAATATACCTTTATCACCTGCATACCAGCAACCTTGTTTAAAGTCATCATTTCGTAAGTTCTATGGTCGGTAAAATGACCTTGTTAGCAAATACAATTTGTAATTGATTTAAATGCTGACTGATGTTTTCATACTAATTGTTAATCCAATATTTATACACTGAATTGACGATTTTTCCGTTATTTCACGATCACGACAATGAGCATACGGCGGGTGTGACCGGTCAGCAGGGGATGCTCACTCCTCCATGGCACCTGATCCCACCTTTGATGTTTCGGAGGTCCGTGTTTGCTCTGCTCTTGTTTTGTATTGTTTTATGGACTTTGAGATTGAATACTGTTCTTTATCTCCATATCCTTCTTCCAAAGGTACATAGAAAGATTTGAAGTTAATACATGTATATTCTCAAATTTTCTGTATGATATTACAGCTTATATATTACGACAACATTTCACGAAAAATATAATTAAAATGTCTTTTCATCTCGAAGTTCAGGGCGGGTTTGATTGACAATTCCTCTCACTTTCATATATCTGAATTTTATTCTTACTACGCAGTACTAATCAGAAATAATAAAACTATATAATCAGAAAATTCAGAATAGAAATGTTCGTAAGCAAAACCAGCTCAGAATTTATTGTCAGGCTGTGATCCGTGGTGTGTACAGACTTTAACCATTGGAAAAATCGAATGATTCGTAAACATTAACAATCACAGAGCTCGTGCCCTGTTTTCAAAAACAGTTTTATTTCACGGGTGAATTCAGTTAGTTAAACTCTGTACACATCACTGAGCACAGATGGATGCTACTTATGAGGGGGTTTGCTTGCGATCAATTCTACTCTGGATTATCTGGATAATAGTTTGTATTTTAAATGTATGTCTGATCAGTACATCTGAACATGCACCAAAACGTTTTAAATAATTAAATATTTATAGTTTCTATATGTTATATGTTCAGATCATTCGTCTTATAATCTTCAGTTTTTTAGACCTCGTTATAAGCATACACGTATAATTAAGGTTATTTATTCCCTATTAAGTATTTGCAGTCTCTAAAATTATTTTTACTATAATGCTATCATTTCTTTACCCTATTCTGTTAAACACGACCCAATTTTAGTCTCAGGTAGTGATCTTCAAACAGAACGAATTAAAAGAACACAGAGGACTAAAATAGGCGTTTACTGCTGCCCGATCCCATTAACTTTTATCTGTGAATAAATTTTTTTTTATCAATGACCAAAAGTAAAAAAAAAAACTAGAATAATTTCTGTAACAATACTGTGACTTGGCGAATTGAAAAAAAAAATTGCTGCTGTTCAAGGGTGGAAATAACTCGGAGCGAAAATCATCCTGTATACATTATCTTATTTTTTTGTTTTTAGATGCTACTCCTATGTTGGCGTAGTTGGTGGTGCTCAAAATCTTTCGATTGAGGCTCCTGGTTGCATGACGGTGAGATACTATGTACGATAAAAGATAACTTTTGAAGAAATGAATTTCAAATATATGCAAAAAAAAAACTTTTAAAAGTTGTAATAATTTTGCTCCTTATTTTATAGATATAGTATCTCCAATGACTTGTTATTCAATATGATTTTCATACCACATTTTGTGTGTTTTTCTATTTGTGTGTTTTGCGACTTTTCCTTAAACTAAAATCATCTTAAATTGATCACAATATTTCTAAACATGCAGTGTAAAACATTTCTTTTTGGCTAACCTGAGTTGAAAGCACAAGTGAGATTTTTTGCATGATTACCAGTTACCCGACATCCGTACGTCTGTCAACTTTTCACATTTTCAACGTCAGCTCAAGAACCATTGGGACAATTTTAACCAACTTACGTTCAAAGCATCCTTGAGTCTATTGGAGTTTAAATTGTAAAATCCACTTACAAGGGGAGATAATCAGGAAAAGACACAAATAGGATGGGGTCCTTAAAAAAGATAATTTCAAGAACCACAAATATATTTTTTTTTAATTTTTAGGTACACACGGTCTTGCATGAATTCTTGCATGCAATGGGGGGTAGTCACGAACAGTCCCGTAGTGACAGAGCTAGCATGACGTCAATGATCTGGAATAAGATTGATTCTAAAAATATGTACAATTTTGTAATGGAAAACACCAAAAACGCACTTCCTTACGATTATAAATCGCTGATGCAGTACGAACTTGATGTAAGTATCAACTGTTTAAATAATTTGTAAAAAAAAATAATTCCTTAAGGTTGATTAGACATATTATTAGTTGTGGCTTTAAAGTTTCGAGTACTGTCGATAAAAGCTCTTAAGGTATTATTTAAAAATGATTTAATATGGACGTTTACAGATAATTTATGGATTTTTAGCTCGTACATTCATTATTATAAATCATGAGCATTTATAAAATTACAATGCATAGAGATTGAGAGTTGCAATAAAACAATGATTTGTTTACTTTGAAGTCATTTGGTAAAAATAGAGAAAATTCCATGTCTATCCCGGATATGAGTTTTGAATACCTGATTACAAATAAGAAAGACCATCTCAGCCTTTACGACATAGGTGAAATTAACAGCGCCTATAAATGTACTGGTAAGTGACGTCATTCAATAGAGCTAGATCGACAAAGGCGAAATCAACAGCGCCTATAGATGTACTGGTGAGTGATCTCATTCAATATAACTAGATCACTCCCTTCCCCCCCCTACCCCCCCCCCCCCCAAAAAAAAAAAAAAGACTAGAAGCAAATTATATTCCAAGTACATCTAATTGTTAGTTTAAAATATAATTATACCCTCCGCAAACGAAGTTTGGGGGGTTATATAGGAATCACCTTGTTCGTCTGTCTGTCTGTCTAGCTGTCTGTGCAAACGTGTCCGGTCCATATATTTTTAACGGAGGGACATTATGATCTGCTACTCTACACAAAGATTGCCCATGACCTAAGGGTGTGTCCTGACCTTGACCCAAGGTTATTTGGGAAACTTCAAGGTCACTGAAAGAAAAAATTTTATAATTCGTGTCTGGTCCATATCTTTCTTAACGATAAACTTGGTAGGTTCTCATTTCACACAAAAGTTGCCCATGACCCAGGGGTATGTCATGACCTTGACCCAAGGTCATTTGGGGAAGTTCAAGGTTACTGGAATAAAAATTTCATAATTCGTGTCCGGTCCATATCTTTCTTATGTGTAAACTTGGTAGGTTCTCATTTCACACAAAGATTGTCCATGACTTAAGGTTGTGTCCTGATCTAGACTCAAGGTCATTTGGGGAATTTCAAGGTCAATGGAAGAAAAGTTTCATAATTTGTGTTTGGCCCATATCTTTCTTATGGATAACCTGATATGTTCTCATTTCACACAAATATTGCCCATGTCCTAAGGTTGTGTCATGACCTTGACCTTGTGAGCTTGACCCAAGGTCATTTGGGGAAGTTCAAGGTCAAAGGAAGAAAAATTCATAATTTGTGTCCGGTCCATATCTTTCTTATGGATAAACCTGGTAGGTTCTCATTTCACACAAAGATTGCCCATGACATAAAGGTGTGTCGTGACCCTGACCGAAGGTCATTTGGAGAAGTTCAAAGTCACTGGAAGAAAAATTTCATAATTCGTGTCTGGTCGATACCTTTCTTATGGATAAACTTGGTAGGTTCTCATTTCACACAAAGATTGCCCATGACCTAAGGGTGTGTCATGATTTTGACCCAAGGTCATTTGGGGAACTTCAAGGTCACTGGAAGAAAAAAATTTCATAATTCATGTTTGATACATATCTTTATTAAGGAAAAACTTACTTCTGAAAAACCCAGTGGGGGGTATTTTGTCCCATTTGGACAGTTCTAGTTTTGTTATACCCGCACTTTCTAAAGAAAGTTCGGGTATATTGTTGTTACTCATGTCCGTCCGTCCGTCCGTCCGTCCGTCTGTCACACTTTTCTTCCCTGAACTCCTCCTACATTTTACACAGTAGCTTAATCATCCTTTAAGAGATGGTTGGTGGTGTCATGTAGATGTGCAGTAAGGTTTCGGAATTTTGATTTTGCCCCGGGGGGTCAAATGGGGGTCGAAAATGACGTTTTTTGTGCAAAAAGTCCCGTCTTCCCTGAACTCCTTCTACATTTAACTCAGCAGCTAAATCACCTTTTGGCAAATGGTTGGTGGTGTCATGTAGATGTGCAGTAAGGTTTCGGAATTTTGATTTTGCCCCGGGGGATCAAATGGGGGTCGAAAAATGACGTTTTTTATGCAAAAAGCCCCATCTTCCCTGAACTTCTCTTACATTTTACTTAGCAGCCTAATCATCTTTTGTTGGATGATTAGTGGTGTCATGTAGATGTGCAGTAAGGTTTCAGAATTTTGATTTTGCCCCGGGGGGTCAAATGGGGGTCGAAAAATGACGTTTTTTGTGCAAAAAGTCCCGTCTTCCCTGAACTCCTTCTACATTTTACTCAGCAGCCAAATCACCTTTTGGGGGATGGTTGGTGGTGTCATGTAGATGTGCAGTAAGGTTTCGGAATTTTAATTTTGCCCCGGGGGGTCAAATGGGGGTCGAAAAATGACGTTTTTTATGTAAAAAGCCCCATCTACCCTGAACTCCTCTTACATTTTACTTAGCAGCCTAATCATCTTTTGTTGGATGATTAGTGGTATCATGTAGATGTGCAGTAAGGTTTCAGAATTTTGATTTTGCCCCGGGGGGTCAAATGGGGGTCGAAAAATGACGTTTTTTGTGCAAAAAGTCCCGTCTTCCCTGAACTCCTTCTATATTTTACTCAGCAGCCAAATCACCTTTTGGGGGATGGTTGGTGGTGTCATGTAGATGTGCAGTAAGGTTTCGGAATTTTAATTTTGCCCCGGGGGGTCAAATGGGGGTTGAAAAATGACGTTTTTTATGTAAAAAGCCCCATTAACCCTGAACTCCTCTTACATTTTACTTAGCAGCCTAATCATCTTTTGTGGGATGATTAGTGGTGACATGTAGATGTGCAGTAAGGTTTTGGAATTTAGATTTTGCCTCGGGGGGTCAAATGGGGGTCGAAAAATGACGTTTTTTGTGCAAAAAGTCCCGTCTTCCCTGAACTCCTTCTACATTTTACTCAGCAGCTTAATCACCTTTTGGGAGATGGTTGGTGGTGTCATGTACATGTGCAGTAAGGTTTCCGAATTAAGATTTTGCCCCAGGGGATCAAATGGGGGTCGAAAAATAACGTTTTTCATACAAAGAGCCCTGTTTTCCATGAACTCCTCTTACATTTTACTCAGCAGCCTAATCATCTTTTGGGAGATGGTTGTTGGGGTCATGTAGATGTGCAGTAAGGTTTCGGAATTTAGATTTTGCCCCGGGGGGTCAAATGTGGGTTGAAAAATGACGTTTTTTGTGCAAAAAGCCCTGTCTTCCTTGAAGTCTTCCTTAATGTTACTCAGAAGCCTAATCATCTTTTAGGAGAGATAAATATTTTGAAAATTATGTAAAACATCAACATCAAGGGGTAACAAGATGTGTTTGTGAAACACTATGCGCCCGGCGTCAACAAAAATCGAAAAAGCTATTTTTAGCATATAGTTCACAGTCAAGGTCACAAGGTCATTGACCTTGGTATTATTTGTAAGAGCTTAATTAGTGGGGTATGCATACTAAATATGAAGTCCCTATCTCCTATGGTTCAAAAGTTATAACAAACAGTTGAAAAACCTATTTTTAGTATAAAGGTCACAGTTAACTTCACATGGTCATTGACCTTGGTGTTGTTTGAAAGAACTTTATTAGTGGAGTATGCATACTAAATATGAAGTCCTTATCTCTTATGGTTCAAAAGTTATGGCAAAAAGTGGAAAAAGCTATTTTTAGCATATAGGTCACAGTCAAGGTCACAAGGTCATTGACCTTGATGTCATTTGAAGGAACTTAATTAGTGCAGTATGCATAGCAAATATGAAGTCCCTATCTTCTATGGTTCAAAGGTTATGGCAAAAAGTGGAAAAAGCTTTTTTAAGTATAAAGGTCACAGTCAAGGTCACATGGTCATTGACCTTGGTGTTGTTTGAAAGAACCTTTTTAGTGGAGTAAGCATACCAAATATGAAGTCCCTATCTCCTATGGTTCAAAAGTTATAACAAACAGTTGAAAAACCTATTTTTAGCATATAGGTCACAGTCAAGGTCACAAGGTCATTGACCCTGATGTCATTTGAAAGAACTTTATTAGAGATGTATGCATACTAATTATGAATTCTCTATTTCTTATGGCTCAAAAGTTATGACAAACAGTTGAAAAACCTATTTTTAGCACATAGGTCACAGTCAACGTCACAAGGTCATTGACCTTGATGTCATTTGAAAGAACTTTATTAGAGGAGTATGCATACCAAATATGAAGTCTCTATCTCTTACGGTTCAAAAGTTTTGGCCAAGGTTAAAGTTGACAACAGACAAACAGACAAACAGATAAACAGACAAACAGACAGGACAAAAACAATATGCACCCCTAAAAAATTCGGGCGCATAAAAAACATCGCATGCTGGGAAACACCTTGAATTCTTATGAGTAATTTATGTACATATGTCAAATGTGAGAGTCATATCTCATCTCAATCAAAAGTTATAAGCAAATGCAACATTTTTGAAAAGTAGGTTAGGCTTGATCGCTTCAAGGTCAAGGTCACAGTGTAAAAGTCATGATTTATTTGGAAAGGTCTTATCACAGGTAATAATATACATGCATTATGATATGAATGCCCTAACTTTTCTCTTTCAAAATGATGAATTTATAACAATTTAATTTTTTTGCAAGTTGGTCAAACTTCTAGGTCACATGTAAAAAAAAAACCATGCCATTCTCACAGGTAAATATACTAATACATAAGTTTAATATGAATGTCTCTTCTCATTCAGTAGATATGACCGTGATAACCAAGGTTAAATTTATTGAGACAGATGGACTGAGTCTGAAATACAAATGTACATATTTCTATATGAATTGGGTAAAATTGGCCCAGTGGTTCTAGAGAAGTTAAAAAGTTTTCAGACAAACAGATGGACAACACGTCACGACAGACATTATATGCTAAGGAAACCAAAAAAGCTCAAATGAGTGTTTTGAAAGGGTTACAATATGGTTGGAGTATTTGAAAAGCTGTTTTTTTTCCTGCAGAGATATGCATGACCAACATATTCATGTTTTATATTTTCTTTAGTGATTTGTTTGTTTGTTGTGAATACATCTTCCCTCATATGGAGACACCACCAAATAATAATGAAGATAAGATGTGTTTGTGAAACACTGATGTCCCAGTATGGAAGCCTATGGCGAAGGTTGAAGTTTCTCAAATATATGTCAAAATCAAAGGTCAAGGTCAAAGGGTTCAAATTGTTAGTATCAGAAGAAAGTCTTGTCACAAGGAATGCACATGTGAAATAAAGAAATCCCTAGTAATTCCTGTTCAAAAGTTAATTGCCAAGGTTAATTTTTTTGTTTAAGTGGTTCAAACTCTAGGGTCAAGGTCAAACATATTTATACCTGTTGACAGTTCACAATGAATACAATATGTCATGATAAGTATGAAAGCCCTAGCACCTACTGATCAAAATTTAGGCAGAGTTTAAAGTTTGGTATTTTTCTTGTAAAAATGTGTATCCCATGTCAAGCGATCAGAGGTAAAAATTAATGGTACCCAAATAAAAGGTCTTATTAAATTGTCACAAGAAATAAACCTATAAAATGTGGAAGCTATTTGTATAGCCCATCCCACTTAAAACTTATGGGCAACCTAGCTAGGATTTAATTTCTGCAGACTTATAGACAGACATACTATAAACTCAAGAAATAAAATATGTATAATAATTATTCAAATGGAAAAAAATATACTATTTAACTAGAATAACAAAATACATTGTTATTTCAGGGACAGGAAGTGGGTAGGAAGATTGGAATCCCCCCCATCCCCCCCATCTGGCATTTGCTTTGTTATTTAAACAAGACTATATACTGTAGGAAGTAAAAAATGACTCTTGACATCCTCTCCCTATAAACTTAGAAAACATTGACCTCACTATCATTGTTTTTTTATTTGTTTATTTGTTTTCATTTTTTTTCTCCTGCTTGTCACGAAATTTTGGGCTGGAATTTTTTGACTGAGATGTGAACCCCCCTCCCTACTCCCGAAAAAAATTCTGGATCCGCACCAGTATTGGCAGTAACTGAATGTCACATCGACAACGGGAGATAACTTCACAATATGAAATTCGTCTAGTGTGGCATGCGATGATCTTTCACCCTTTTTAAACTTTGACCTAATAGTTTGGGTGTATTTTACCCCCCCACTATACTAAAACTTCTACTTACCGACTCCCTGTGTCTCAACTTCATGAAATATAAATCCAATTATAACTCAAAATGAATTAATCCAATGCACACCAGACTGCAGCCATGTGCCATTTTGGCGAACCTTATCAGATGAAGTGGGAATCGGCCGAGGTGTGCCAAATGGTGTTTAATCTATAAATATGATAATGGGTGACGCAACGTGATGTGATGTAGAAATTTACATGTTCACATATATAGTACAAGAACAAATTTTAAATTAATTCATAACAAACGATATTGAATTTTAACAAACCTTTTCCATCTAGCCTATTCCAAAAAGTATGTGCTGTGTGATTGTGGTGTCGAGGGGGGGGGGGTTAGTAAATTTAAAAAGGTCCTATTATGAGCAAAACATATATCAAAATCTAATTTCAGACGCGGATCCAGAAATTTTTTTCCGGGGGGGGGGGGTCCACCTCAGTAAAAAAAATCCTATCCCAGAAATTGACAATCAAAAAAAAAAAAACCTAAAGTAAATCTCACCCAAACGTCAAAAACCTATATCGTGGGGGTTGGGTGGGAGTAGTGGTGACTCCTATTGCCGCAAATGTTTAACTTTTCATACTTATTTTACACATATTCGTGTTTACCAGGGGGGGGATCTGCATTTTCCAAGGGGGGTCCATTGTAACTTTTTCCTTGTTTTAGTATATACAGTTTTTAACCTTGTAAATTCCAGGGGGGGGGGGGGGGGGTCCTGACCCCCCTCCCCAAGACAGATCCGTGCATGAATTTACATCATTAATAAAATTCAGACTGGTATATAATGAATTAAACATGTATAAAATAAATATAAGAGGTTCTGAGTTATAGGTCACAGGGTCTGAGAATTTGATACTCAATTTGATGAATACATGTAAATTATAGAATTATTTTGACTATTTCTTTGGAAAGCCGCCCAATATGTAGGAGCGTGTATTTAGAGGCAAACACCTTAGTGCGGGTATTACTGTCTCATGACAGCATCTAGTTAAATATTCATTTGCTAACTTAAGTTTCCAGTAAATCTGATTATTCAAATTTAATACGTTTTACATGCATTGTAAAACTAAAAATAAATTTTAAAAAATCATAGAAAATTGGCTTAACTTGTATACATGTGTTCATTCATCTGCAAAGCTGATTGTTTCAATCAATGTGAAAATGGAGGCGTGCTCACAAAAGAAAACGGCCAGTGCAGATGTAAATGTCCGTCCGGTTTGAAGGGGGAAGACTGCTCTGAATTAGACACAAGTGACGGTAAGCATTAAGAACCATTCTTTGTAATGATTTCAAATTTTATATAGGAGCTGTGGCACGCATAGTATCAGAATATCTCCAAACTCTCTATGATAAAAGTCATTGATACCCTAAACTGAAATCAGGCAAATATTGGTTGCTATGTTTTATTGTTACCATAGCAACATGTCTTAAAGTTCGAAAAATGGCGTTTTTAAACATGTTTAGAGCGCCATAGTTAACATTTGCGGCAAAGCAAACAATTGGCAATGACTATTTCCAAAAGTTGAAGGTCAGATGTCTCAAATGCATGATAAACATGTTTTGTAAATCAACTATTCCATACGTTACTATGGTAACAAAGTATTCAAAAGTAAAAAAAAAATATTCATTGAATTTTATAAAGTCATACACATAAAAATAAAAAGCAATGATAGGAGGAAATGTGACCAAATAATAGAAAAAAGAGCCTTGAAACATATACCAAGAACAAAATATTATATTTCATTTTGGTTGGCAATGGTTGCCAAGGTTTTTATACCACAGAGAGCCTTCAAAGTTACACTCTGTGTGTTTAAATCTGATCCTATCTTTTAAAAAAAAGCACATTTCCTCATAACTAATGATCAATTTTATAAGATATTGGTGTGTTTTTCCCATGTGAAAAATTCAGATTAGATTCTTTAAATAGAGCGTTGCTATGGAAATAAGCAGAAAATATATGCTTAAAAACCTGAGAAATATTTTCTTTTCTCGGATACGTACGAATAAATGTAGATTCCCAAAACTTTTATGATTGATATTTATTAACAGCTAACTTGACTTTTCATTTTGACTATCATCCAATCTGTAAGTGGATGCAAGAAGTTGGCACACAGGGTTTAATATTGATATAAAGTTCACAAAATCGAACATTTTCCCTTCTTGGTTATCATAGCAACAGTGTTGTTTTATTCATCAAACTTTATCAATATAGGATATTCAACTTCAGTTCTAACAGTTAAGTACTATTCAAGCTGAGTCCTTTAATTTGTTTCTTGATTAAATGGCAATTTAATTCTTAATGCAGCGAAAAATAATTCACTTTTAAGCACTGGTACTTTGTTTCCGTGGTAACACTGCAAGGTAGCAATTATATTGATTCAATTTTTCTTATGGTTTTTGTGTTGCAAGGTCCTAAGGATGCATATTTGCCAGTCTTGAATTTTCATGTTTTTCCTCAAGACAATACCACTTACCCAATCTTAGTTATTGGTTTTGCATGGTTACACTGTGTTACCATGGCAACCATAAAAGTTATTTATAGAATAATACTACTTATACTTAAATACTTAAGGCCATATCGATACATTTTCATTGTTTTTTCTTAAGTTGTTGATTGAGTTTGAGCATGTAACACATACCATTAGTGAATATGGAGTGTTTTTCAGCATATTTCAGCATTTTAAATGTATTCCAAATGTACCCTTGGTTACCACTTACGTAGAGATATATTCTAAACAGTTTCTTAACAGTATAAGTGACATCAAGGTGTCATGTTTTTGTGGGAATGGTTTGTTTGCTTTTTCTAGTTTTTATTAAGCCACAGTCAAGATTTAAAGTGGCTGAAAATTTCAATTTTTCAAACTTTTCCGGCTGTTGCCATAGCAACCGAATCACATAGCAACGAAATTTTGTTTGATATTTGTTTCTGGTGTCAAGTACTAAGCATGGGTGAAGTTTCATCAAAATCGGTGACCATGCGTGGCAAAGAAGTTTAAGTGGTTACAGAGAATGGCTTTTAAAAAACTTATTTATGCCCTGCCATGAATATGGCCGGGGTATATATTTGTTATGTCCGTCTTCCGTCCTTCTGTCCTTCCATCCTTCCATCACACTGTATTTAGCTCAGTGCAAAGCTCATTTTTGATACAACTATCCCAAATATTTTTTTATCAAACTTCATATGATCTGAGAAATTGATAAGTTCTGTGAAACTGCATCAACATTTTTTTTTATCTTGGCCTTTCCTTTAACCTTAACCCCACTTTTAAAAAAAAATTACTGTTTAACTAAGTTTTAAAGATACCAGTCAGGAAAGTGTGATCAAACTTCATATGTTTATATATACTGATGTAAGTTATTCAAATGCATCAACATAATTTGAACTTGACCTTTCCTTTGACCTTGACCTCACTTTCCTTAAATTAGTATTTACTTTATTTCTCAAGATACCATTTAAAAATCAAATTAGTGTGATCAAACTTCATTTGTTAATACATATGTTGATACATATTGATGCATATTGATATAGCTATTCAAATACATAAATATTTTTTACCTTGACATTTCCTTCAAAATGATTTTGAGATCACTTTACTTAAGTAATTGAAAACTTGGTTTTAAAAGATACCATTCAAGATTATGTAATCAAACTTCATATAATACATACTGATACAAGATTTTCAACTGCATCAACAATTTTCTATCTTGGTCTTTCGTTTGACATTGACAAATCTTTTCTTAGGTACCTACATGTATTAAGCACATTTTTAGATAAACCATGAAAGATATTTAAAGATATTTTTATCAAACATAATATGCTTATACATATTAATGGGAGCTATTCAACTGCATCAATATCTTCTGACCATGCACTTTGCTGTGACCTTGACCTCTTTTTATTTGTATTTTTTTAGCTTTAAAGAAAACAAAATTGATCATATAAACCTAATATTTTACATTTCAAATTCAATTTAAAGAAACGCTCAAGATATTTCATCAAAACTGAAAACATTAATACAAATTTTCATGTTGCCTTAGTTATATACATTTACACTTGGCGGGGCATATTCATGTCCTATGGACATATGTGTATGTGTAGTTTCTTATTTAACCTCCTCCCCCATCCCACAAAAACTGAAGAATTGTCAGATTTTTGTGAACTGTTTTGTAAGTCAGGACTTTCTATTTTTATTCATAAATAACTTCATTGCCATACAGTTAAAAAGAATTGAATCTTAAGTGAAGCTTCGACAATTTTTTTTGGGGGGGGGGGGCTTCTTTTCATTTAGGAAATTATTTGATTACTTAGTATTTACTGAGACAGTATGATAAAATATTAACATGTAAATTTGAAATAAATTAGATATTTGTCTTCC